CTAGTTTATTTTGTTTTTTAGATTCCACATATATGTGAAATCATATGGTTTTGTCTTTCTCTTTCTAACTTATTTCACTTAGCATATTACCCTCTATATCCATCCATGTTGTTGTAGTTGGAAAGCTTTCATTCTTTTGATGGTTGAGTAATATTCCATTGTATATATGTACCACATCTTCTTTATCCATTTTCTATTGATGGACACTTAGGTAGTTTCCTTATCTTGGCTATTGTAAATAATGCTGCAATGAGCATATGGATGCATATGTCTTTTCAATTAGTGTTTTGAGTTTCTTTGTATTAATTCTCAGAAGTGGAATTACTGGTCCTTCTTTGTCTCTTGTTATAGTCTTTGTTTTAAAGTCTATTTTGTCTGGTATAAGTATTGCTATCTCAGCTTTTTTTTTTCCATTTTCATTTTCATGAAATATCTTTTTTCCATCCCTTTACTTCCAGTCTGTGTGTGTCTTTTGATCTAAAGTGAGTCTCTTGTAGGCAGCATATGTAAGGGTCTTGTTTTCTTATCCATTCAGCCATCCTATGTCTTTTAATTGGAGCACTTAATCCATTTACATTTAAAGTGATTGATAGATGTGTAGTTATTGCCATTTTATTATTTGTATTTTTGATTTTTTTCTTCTTCATCCTAAAGAAGTCCCTTTAACATTTCTTGTAATACTGGTTTGGTGATGATGAACTCTTTTAGCTTTTTCTTGTCTGGATGTCATGATGTTTTAAAACGTCCTTTTTGCAGTGGAATACTTATCAAAAAAAAAGTATATGGAAGCCCATTTATAAATGAGATAGAATGGAGCTGTGAGGCTAGGTGAAGGTTGGTGGGGTGGAGGGCATAAAGCCACTCACCCATTTGTCTTCTTACTGCTGTCTGAAAACCTTAGTGTGTTGGGCAGGGCTTGGGCACATCACATTTAGCTGAGTGGCATTATTATGGGATGTACCGTCTAGGACGTTTTCACTTGAGTCTGATGATCCCAGCCAGCTGGGATGAAAAGTTTTTTCCCCAAATTGGTTGAAAGAGCCTGTGAGTCCTCAGGCCAGAGCAGACCTTGGTGGGTCATGTGGCTCCTCCTTGGCTCATTGCTGGTTTGTGATAGAGTTTTTATTGGTCCATGAAGAAACAAAGAAATTAGGTCAATGTGATGAGATTTTCATAAAGCTAAGCTTATTTAGATGTTTCTTTTTGGCACTGATATCTTATGGTGGTAATAACTGGTAGCATGTATGTGTGGGCGCGTGTGTATTTTAATGTCTTACCTAAATAACAAATTGGCAACTTCATATTGGTTCTTTAAATTTACTTCAAAAGTTTACTGATCCATGAAATCCTGTAGTCTAGAGATGTTCTCATCCATTGTGGCAGCTTTGCTAGGACTTCCCCGGAACAATCCCAGAGAGATAGCAAGTCCTATGCTTGTGTCAGATGAATCTGAGAAATGCTATCCTTTGTTGGAATCAAAGGAGCTCTCCCAAGGCAGAGAGTGGACAGAGCCTCGCCCAAGGACTGTGGTCCAAGAAAGTCACTTTCTCAGCGAGGCTTTTGCTTGTGTCTCTTGACACCACTCTCTTGAACTTCAGGGGAACACGGCTTCTTTGGACCACCCTGAGCCAAATGCGGTGCTGGACTGTTCTTTTGATGCCCCATAGTTTAACTAAGACTAGGGATGGGGCATGCAACTAGGACTTTGCTAAAGGCTTGTGATTCACTTAAGAGAAATGAACTCAAAGATAACACAAGGCCAGATGACTGGGCTTACAAACTCCACAGCTCACAATCTCTACCCCGCCCCCCTATCCTAGCTGCCTAAGACCTTCTAAGGGGTGATTGCGCAAGCAACCAGCTGAAGACCACCAAGGGGCCCACAGCCTTCAACACATGGAGAACCTCCCTGCCCGTCTCCAAGAACAGGCTGGGGTTTATGAAGGGAGATAGCAGTTTTCTTATAGGAATGCTCTTGGTATAAGAGGTAAAACCTATCAAAGAACTAGGGGCTTCTTCCTTTACTTCCTTTACAGGTAGGACTGTTTGATTTTTGTCGTTTAACTCCAAATCCCCATCACAGTAGTTGATGACAATGGATTGGGTTCAGAGGCTTCTCTGGTTATTAAAAATGTGTTGACACCAGATTAGGCACTTGGCCCTTTGCATATAAGGTTGCTTGAACAGTATAAAAAGGGTTTTTTGGAGTCTTTAATTCCTCTTAATGACAAAGAATTTTTAGTGGTTTGGGGAAAGGAATTGTCTGAACTGTATCTAGCACTTTTTTTTCTTTGTTCATGTGATTTAAAAATTCTCACATAGTTTTCAACTTGTGACCATTTATTTATATTTGCAAAATAACCACATGGCATCCCTGGTCCTTTTAGTCCTCACAGTAGCCCAGTGAGGTAGGTATCACTCTTCCCTTTTTACTGATGAGGAATCTGAGGCTCAGGGGAGCTAAGTGACTTGCTCAAGACCAAACTGCGAGTAAGAGGCAGCACTGACATCTGCCTGCCCCAAACCCTGTCCTCTCTCCTCTGCACAGCCAGGTCCCATCCACAGCTAGTGAACACATGTTTTGTTTTCTTTTTTTTTTTTAATTTCTCTGCAAAGTTAACCACTGGCCCTTAAGGGATTTGAACTTAGGAATCTTGGGGCCATTAGCATTGCGTTCCAGTTAGAGAAACAAATGACAGCAACAACAATAACAACTAACCACCAAGAAAGAACCCTTTCAGTTTCCATCTTGACCAGATTAGAGAGCTCTTTGTCAGGGTCAAGTTCAAAAAAAGTTCCAGGTGGTCTGGGCAGAACATGAGCTACTCTCTTCACTTCTCTAGGGTGCTTTGTGGGGCTGACACTGAGCTGAGCCATGGCACCAGCCTGGGAACACCAGGAGAAAACTCCCACTGACCCACCAACTTGCCCACCTCTCTCTCTCGGGCACTCCCTTGAAAGCTGTTGAAAGGACTGTGTTTTCTGCTGCAGCTGGTTGTGCTGACCTTCTCCTGGGAATGAGGAGCAGGTGCCTGAGGTTTGGGCTCCCAATCCTGGTCCAGCACAGTTCCCAAAGCTTCTAGGGCGGCTGACAGGACCTCTCTCCCACTCCAGCCCCCAAACTCGGGAAGCAGGGTGAGGCATGATTGGAGTCTATCAGGGTGAGGATTTGCTGCTGGTGGTACTGGCAGGAAGCTCACAGGAGTGAAATCCTAGGCCAGGACGGCTGGGGAAGAGCTGCAGGGTGCTGGGCTCTAACATCTCTCCTGGTTTGACTTCTTCCAGGAAAGGATAAAAGGGAACTTGCGCATGGACTGGGCATCCAAGGCCCACAGAACTGGAGTAGGGATGGCAGAGGGAGAGGGTCCCAGGACCTAATCCCACTTGGGCAAGAAATCTAGTGGAGAGGCTAGGGGTGGGAACTACTATGGGAAGGCGAACACTCCAGGTCTGTGTAGATGCTTCTAGGCTGAACTTCCATCATGGTCTGGTCTGGTTTGTTGGGTGACACAAGAGTCAGGCTTCCTGGTTTGGAATTCCAGGGCCCTGATTAACCTGTTGCATAACCTTGAACAAGTAATTACTCTCTCAGCTTCAATGTCTACAGTGTGCGCTTACCCACCACAGTCCAGATACTGTCATGTATACAGTTACAGTGACAGAATATTCACAAGAGTATCTACAAGGCTTCCTTGTAGAATGACCTGCCTAATAATGAACACAGAAAGCACTTGTTCAAATGTATGAGGTAAATAACCCCAACCGTTAAGATATCAAAGAACATGGGCAGAAAAATTTCACGAGTGGTTAATAGATGTATGAAACACATTTCCACCTCAGAAGTAATGAAAAAGGAAGATAAAAGCAATATCAAAGCATCATTTTATGCTTATTCAATTAGCAAAGTATGAAAATATTAATAATACTCTAGCTGGCGAGCTTGCACTCTGGCACATTTATACATTCTGATGCAGCTCTTTTGGAAAGCAATACACCAGTGTGTACCTAGAGACATAAATGTTTGTAACCTTTGATGTGGTCATTCTAGTCCATGGAATTAATCTTAAAATGATAATCCTTTTCAAAATGTTTATTAGAATTTTTCAAACATACAGAATAAAATAGAACGGTATGATGAACCCCCCTATACTAAAGGGATATTTTAACAGAAGAAAAAAGCCATCTGAGTGAAAATGTTCAGAGTTAAAAATTAAAAACAATCAATCTAAATATGTAACAGGAGAATGTCCGAATAAACTGTGATTTGTCTTCAGATAGACTATTATGTAGCAGTTAAGATGATAAAAATGAAAATTGTGGAGTTGTATAAAGTATGATCTCATGTTAAGTGAAAAATCAGAATTTGAATTGTTTCTACAGGTGATGACAATAGAGTAAGGACATATACTTGAGCAAAGGTTGAAAGGAATATGCAAACGTATTTGCTCTGTTGGGGTGGGAGATGATACATTCATTTATTCTCCTTGAATATTTACAATAAAATAAATGAAAAGGCTCTACCTTTTCTAGGCTCTGCCTCACATCAATCTGTGAATGTGTATTTGCTGGGCGCCTATAACACAGGTAATTTGTATGAAGGTTTGCATTAAGAAACGGCAGGGGGTAGGCACAGGCCACGGTTTGGGAGCAGGGCCTGGTGCATAACAGTCTCAAAGACTCTGAATGTCAGAGCTATGTGGGACCAGTCTAACACCTTCATTTTGCAGTCAAGGGTCCTGAGGCCCAGAGAGGCTAACTGGCTTGTCCAGAATACCCAGCCAAAGTCTGGAGATTTCACATAGGTGTAGGCACTGCCATTAAACTAGTTGCTGGCCTTAGCTCAGTCCCCTTCCCCAGGGCACCTCCATTTTCCCAGAGTTGGCAAGAAGACAACCAGAGAGCACTCTTCTGGTGCAGGCAGGGGGTGGGCATCCTGAACAGGAGGGGCACATAGATGCAGCTCCCCAGTGCAAACCGCTGTGCCATGGTTGTCTCCACAGGACCCTGAGTGAGCTCAGCCAGACCCACGCCTCCCAGCAACGTGTGGGGCTGTCCCGGACTGTCCGACTTTACCCGGCCACCTCAGCCAGTGGCCAGCTGACTTCCAATGCCCTGCCCGCAGGGCCAGGCCTTGAGCGGAGGGATGGCATCCAGCAGGCAGCATATGTGGACCACCAGTCATCCCCCTGGGGTAAGGACGCTCTGTCTTGGGGTTCTAGAAGAGCAGTGCATCTAAATCTCTGACCTTCTCCCCACTTCACTTCTCCCTTTCATTCTCACTGAGGGGCTGAGTTGTCACCTGTCCCTCATATTTTCAGCCAATCAACAAAATGTTGTAGAGTGCCTGCTTTGTGCGGCTCCAGAAGTCCCAAACCAGCTGATGAGGACTTTGACCCTTTGCGACCCTTAGACCTCAATTGCTCCATTTCTGCCCCACCTGTCACCCCTCCAGCTTTCGCTTCCTTTATATCCAGCTCTGAACCTCACCTCCCTGGACCCAGCCCTTCCACCTCATCCTTCCTGCAAACCCCACCCAGCCTTCCTGGACCAACCCGACCTGTTGCTTCCTTAGCACCTCCGGCCAGGTCTCTGCTTCCCAGAGCATCCCTGTGGATTCACACCTCTGCACATTCTTGGTCATTGCCAACGATCTGCCCCTGTGTGCCTGGACACTCTCTCTCATACTCCACGCTGTTCCCACTTTCCCATGTCCCATCCGGTCAGCACATGGACACGCCTGCCACCTCCCAGGGAGCTCCTGCCTATTGGCCCCACCACGACACACAGTGCTCCCTTACCTCGACCCATGCCCCCACTGACTTCCGTTCTTTTTTTTCCTCCCATTTTAAAAATTGAGGTGAAATTCACACAAAATAAAATTACATTTTAAAGTGTACATGTCAGTGGTTTTCAGTACATGCACAATTCTGCACAACTGCCACGATTATCTAATTCCACAACATTGTGGTCACTCCAAAAAGAAATCCCATAGCCATTAAGCAGTCACTCCCTATTCCCCCCTCTCCGCAACCTGGCAGATGTGCACATTCTGGATATTTCATATAAAAGGAATTAGACAATGTGTGGCCTTTTGTGTCTGGCTCTTTCACTTAGTATAATGTTTTCGAGGTTTATCCATGTTGTAGCACGTCAGTACTTCATTCCTTTTTATGGTTGATGACCTCCTTTCTTGTCACCTTAAAAATGAGGTGTCCCTCTTGTTGTCTAAGGCACACACACCCTTTCTTGATTCCTCTGGAATGCTAGGCCATCACTTGTCCTCCCCTCACTCCTCCTGTCCTTCCCCTTCAACCAGTCTCTCTCTCAGCCCTTTCTCAGCAGCATGTATGCTTGCTTACAGCTCTGACATTCTCTCTCTCTCTCTCTCTCTCTCTCTCACACACACACACACACACACACACACACACACACACACACACACACACACACAGAGGAGTTATTCCTCTGCTTTTCTCTGACTTCCTTGCCTCCCCAACCACCTGCACACCCAGCTGGGAGGGCATTCATTCCCCCAACACTTCCTCTTTGATCTCTTACTGGAATTTTCCCGTGACTTCCTACTACCAACCAAATAAAGTGCCTGATCCTTTTTCTGGAAATCAGCCCCCGCCCCTCACCACGAAACCTGACTCTAAGCATCCTTTCAGGCTTTATCTTCCTCCACTTCTCTTAGAAAACTCTTCACTCCAGCAGGTCTGAGCTGCATTCTGATCTCTGCCCTTCAGTCCAAAGCCCAGCAGAACCACTTGCAACCCAATCTTCTTTGAGCCTGTTTCTGTACTTGTAAAATGGAACTATTAGGTTGGCTGTAAGAACGTTGCCAGTAGTCAACATTCTAACCTACAGAAATGGCAACTTCTGATGGTTGAACCTAAAATAATTCTCAAGAGGGTTGGGAGTTAATGTGCAAAAAAGCATGAGCTGAGTTGGCTGCACACTGATGTCCCTCAGTAAATGCTGGATGGACTGTGAGCTTATCAAAGGTGGTGTCCTGCCCCCCCTATGGGACCTTGCATCTAATGGGTACTTAGCACATGCCCTTGGGATGGACTCAGCCCTGGTCCCATGGGCCTTTCTAACCATCCTCTGGAGGTCACAGCTGTGCCTCTCAGCCCTGCCCCCTGGACCCAAGCCCTCTCTCTGCAGGGCTGAACCTCACGGAGAAAATCAAGAAGATTAAGATCGTCTTCACTCCTACTATCTGCAAGCAGACCTGTGCCCATGGGCACTGCGCCAACAGCTGTGAGCGTGGCGACACCACCACCCTGTACAGCCAGGGTGGTCACGGGCATGACCCCAAGTCTGGCTTCCGCATCTGTGAGTCCCTTCTTCCTTCGGACGAGGGTTCCTGGCTGACCCTGTCTCCCTAGTTACTGCGGGGTGGACGAAAGACATGAAAGGGCTCTTTAGAAAGGCAGGGGCTGGTTATTACCAACCCTCTTTCACTCCCGGGCCTCCTGGGAAGTCCCTGCATTTCAGGGGATGCTGGGATCCCTGAGCCATGCAGGTTTGGAGCACTGTTCCTCCTGCTTCTCTGTTGTCTTCCACCTGTGACATGGTGGGCACTGCTGTGTCCTTCCACACTCGGTCACCTTGAGGTCGATGTCGTAGATTTCTGCCAGATCCCCTGCCTGAATGGAGGCCGCTGCATCGGCAGGGACGAGTGCTGGTGCCCTGCCAACTCCACTGGGAAATTCTGTCATCTGCCCATCCCAAAGCTGGAAAGGGAGCTTTCAGAGAGGGGCTCCCACCACAGGGGCCCACTGGAGGGTCCCTTGAAGCAGTCCACCTTCACATTGCCTCTTTCCAACCAGCTGGGTGAGTGCAGGGCTGGGGATGTGGGGCTTGGGGGCACACTGGGTTACTGGGTAGGGTGGGTGTCGGCATCTGGTGGAGGGACAGGAGGCTGTCTCCAGGCCTTTCTTTCTTCAGTCAAACCTCCTTCCTTCTCCTCCACCCTCAGGGCTCTATCTATCTACCTCCCATCTATCTGAATTCATCAATAGTTTTGCCCTTACCCTCACTGGGCGCTATGTGTGTGATAAAAGAGTATAAGGGTGCTGCCTTTAAGAAACCCACAGACCTGAACAATAGAGGGAGGATGGACAGGAAAGAGAATAGCAGCATCATAGAACTTTTCATTTCCCCTGCCTTCCATTATTAAGTGCCAAATAAAAGGTTAAAAAAATATGGGAAGTCAGGGGATGGAGAGGCTCCTAAGCCCCGGGTGTTCAGGGACAGCTGCGTGGAGGAGGTGGACTTCAGTTAGGCTTTGAACAATGGGCAGCCTTTAGTTCCGCAGACGGGAGTGGGAAGGTTTCCTCTGCAGAGGCACTGGCATGAGTGAAGGCATGGAGGTGGCACCATGCAGGGTTGGTTGGGCTGGAGCTCAGGGGCTGCACGGGACCGCGGGGAAGGTGGAATCAGGAAGGTTGTTTAGAAGTTGATAATGAAGGTCCTTCGTTGAAAAGCAGGGAGTGAAGGAGTTTGCACGTTATCCTATCCTCACAGGGGAATCATGCTAGGGTTTGAGTACAGAGTGCAGAAATGGAAGGAGAATTTGGGGGTGATACATAGGCAGAGGCCCGCCTGGCCCAGGGCTGGCGGGCACTCTTCAGGGGCTGGGGCCCTGTTTCCCCGACTCTGACCCCTGTCCCTGTGCCCAGCCTCTGTGAACCCCTCCCTGGTGAAGGTGCACATTCACCACCCGCCCGAGGCCTCCGTGCAGGTCCACCAGGTGGCACGGGTGCGGGGCGAGGCCGAGGAGGCCCCAGAGGAGAACAGTGTGGAGACCAGACCCTCGCCTCGGCGCCCTGCCAGCCCTGGCCACAGCCACTGGGACAGCAACAGCATCCCCACTCAGTCTGGAGAGGCCCGACGACCACTGCTCCCGGCAGCTCCCAGGCCTCGGGGGCTGCTGGGCCGATGTTACCTGAGCGCTGTGAATGGCCAGGTGAGAAGGCAGCCCCTGCCTCAGCCCTGGAGGCTTCCAGAATAGTGACTCCCCCACCCCAGCCCCAACCCACACTCTGCCCCTTCTCCTTCTCTCTCTCCTCCTTGCTCTTATGGAATGTGAGTGTCTGCAGAGCCTCCTGTTCCCCAGATGGGAAAACTCAGGGCATAAAACTGCCTGAGTGCGGAGTGGCTGGACCTTCTACCTGGGCTCCACTAGGTACCTGTCAGTAGAAGAGGACCCCAGAGAGTCCCCCTCTAGAGGTCCCAGTAAATCCTGGGCTCCGCTGGGGCTAAGTCCAGGATCCTCTGGTGCATGGACAGTGGGGCTATTAGATCTGGCAAGAAGAAAGAGTTTGGTATTCAGCTGAGACTGAGGTCACAGAGATGTGGAATTAGCAAATGCGGTTAAACTCAAAAGCCTTGGGGGTGCAATGATGAGAGACACTCCATCCCCCTCTGGAGGCATCACAGTCAGTGATAGAAAATCAGGTGAGCTTTTCTGAGTCCAGGCACCTAAGAATAGGGGCTAAACCAGGTGCAGGATGGTTTTTCTTGGGGTTGCACTTTGGTGTTTCCAGAAATTCCTCATGAAGTTAAGGAACTGGAGGAGGTGGGGGGAAGCCAAGGGACAGGGACTCTGAGTCCCCAGGCCCTCCCTGGCCTCTCAGCTTATGGTGTCCCTGAGCCTGGACCTGCCCACAGGGAAGGTTGTTACTGTGGGTGACCTTGGAGTTTGACAGAAGAAAGCCCATCCTTTGGGGCCCTCTGTCTGTGGGCTGGGACATGGAAGGGGGCAGTTTGCAGACCTGCGCAGAGAAGATCTTGTCTTGCCTGGGATGTGTCACCACCCCCTGAGTTTAGAGCTTGGTGGAATGGACTGAGAGTTTCTCTGCTTCCTTCGGGGACATCACTGACTCTCTCCTACCCAACCTTGGGTGGAGGTATTCTCTGACAAGATGTGTGGGGGAGGGGAGTTCTTATATCAGGCTTTCCTGGGACATCTCTGGGCACAGCAGGAGAGGGAAGAAGTGGTGACGGGTGTCCATGGCCTTTTTTTCCAGTGTGCCAACCCCCTGCTGGAGCTGACTACCCAAGAAGACTGTTGTGGCAGTGTGGGAGCCTTCTGGGGGGTGACCTTGTGTGCCCCGTGCCCGCCCAGACCAGGTGAGTGCTGGGCGCCAGGGTCTAGGGATGTGGGGGGAGCTCTCCTAGGGCCTGGCCTCTGCTGCACCCCCATCCATATCTCACCAGGGTCTCAGAAGCCAGGCAGATAGAACATGCTGGTAAACTGGGCAGCCTGTCTAGGTCTGCTTTGAGGGTGCTTCTGGCTGGCAGCTGAGGCTCCTAAAGGCTTCAACAGGTTAGATCTGCTGAGTGCAGCCTGACCTACCTGCTCCAGCTGATTGCCTGGGAGGGGTTCCCCCTTCTTGCTAGTTGTTCTTGCTCAGATTTTAGGGATTCCATCGTATGCTGGGTCCTCGTCTACTCCTGGGCCTCCTCCTATATACCCCCTGCCCAGGGACCAGGGGTCCAGAGGTCTTGATTTGGTGACTTAGTGTTTCCCTCATTCTCTCCCTGGAGGGGACCTCAGGCCTTCTCCTCGCCTGTTTCCTGTCTCCAGTCATTGGATCAAGATTAGGTGTCTGTCCCAGGATGCCTTTGACCTTGGGGTGTGGGGAATCCAGTTCCCTGACCTCTTTTGGGTGGTGAGGAAACCTAACATGTATCCATTCATTCATTCATTCACTCACTCAGCAAATACTCACCAGGTGCCTGGTGTGTGCCAAGCACTGAGAACTCAGGAGTGAGCAGAATGCTGCTCTGGTGGGCATTGTTGCAGTTGAGAGGCTAGGACGAGCTGCCTGTGCCTGAGTATGGCTTCTGCCTGCTCAGCCAATCTTCCACCTCCAAGCCTCACTCCTGGGCCTGGGCCTGCCATGTATTTCTTTTGCCTGTCAGCAATCGACTCAGTGAGTCAGTTTTGGGGAGGGGAGGACAGGGGTGGAAGTCCTGAACCATAGCCCAAATGTGGGAGGGGCAGGGCTATGGAGCAGTGACCATATTTTCCAAACTAAAAATAAGCGTGGACGGTTTCAGTGTGATAGAATTTTTATTAAGCTCCCAGGCTTGAATATTTAACACATACCAAGTACCAGTCCCAACTCTGCCTGCTGACCTCTCTCTGCTCCATCTCTGATCTGCAAAGTGAAGACTGTAATAGTGCCAGCTTCGCAGGGCTGCTGTGGAGAGTAGATGAGATGATGCATGTGCTTAGCGTTAGATCCATAAATGGTAGACGTTAATATTATTATTAGAAAATATCTCTCCAAAAAGGGAAAAGGGAATGGACCCACTGCGCGCCCCTCTCCCCCCAGAAGTACATTGAACTGCTCAGCATCTCCCCCTGCAGACCAGAGATGTTTCTGCCACTTTTCTTCTTTCCGCTGACCCTTGAGACTTCCATATCCCATGTTCCATTTAGTCAACAACTCTTTACATTGATGAAGCAACTCTTGAAAGTGTGCAGACTCTGGACAGACAGTGGAGAATGAGGTAGAAACAGAGCCTCCTCTCTCCAAGCTTACAGTCCAATAGGGGAGGGGGAATGCTGACAGGCAGTGGGCACCGGAAAGAGAATGCTAGTGCAGTGGCGAGACAACGCAAAATACGGAGGGAACAGACAGCAGAACCAGGGACACCAATAGGCCCTGTAGCACCTTTGTGCAAATTACAGAAAGATGCCCCTTCTATTTGTTCAAAACAATCTTTATAAATATGCAAATCTAGGGTGCCAATGGTTCCCTTAGATGTGGTGCTTTTGTGCAGTGCACAACCTGCACATCTGCATACACTGTGGGGTAGGAAATCCTAGCTCCGACTGGCAGATTAGGGAAAGCTTCTTAGAGGAGGTGACATTTAGGATGAGATCTGAAGAATTATTAGAGTAAGCCAGTCAAAGAGATGGGGAAGAGCTGAATTAACAAGCGAAGGAAGTTGCATATGCAGGTGAGACCAAGAGAGTGAGCAACGTTTCCTGGAGCACAGTGCACCCCAGGCTGAGTCCTCGCCCCCTCCCTGACCCAGGTATCCCCTTCCACCACCTCTCCCTCACTGTGCTCAGCATATCTAGGCAAGCTAGGCACCACAGTGCAGACCCTGGAATGTGAAGCATCCCAGCACACCAAAGAGCATAATAACAAAGACTAGGGCAACATAAACATTGAAAACACGCTAAAGTGCAGCTGGGCATTGTGTCGAGAAGGGGGCAAGAGCCGGGAGCCTTGTTTGTGTTGACAGGGTGCCAGACACCTAGCTCCACGCCCAAGCCTGGGGCCAGGCAGGGGATGTTTCTTTAAGTAGACGTGGCAAGCAAGCTACTGTGCAAGAGTCAGCGGAAGAAAAGGCCCACTGCTGTGGTGAGATTGGGAATGGCGGGCAAGACAGGCAGGGCCTCTGGGTTCTAGGACATTCTCAGCCCTGGTGCCTTTGGCCCTTGGAGCCTCTATTTCTCCTCTGATAAAATAAAGCTGTGTCCCTCAGAAAAGGGCCTTGTCACCCCCAACGAGGTGGTGTGAGGGGAGTAATACAGCCAGCAGCGGGGGAGCCATGTGGCTTCATGGTTTTCCTTAAATCACCTTTGGCCTCTGAGACTCTGTGCTGGGCTGTCGACGAAGGTCCCTGCAGAATACTGCTATTTCTGACATGCAGAAGGACCATCTTGAAGTCTCAATTACATGGCACAGACCAATCTCTTTTCTTCCAGAAAAAGTCCCTAATGGCTTCTTTCTCAGGGAGATGACTCAATCTAGGTTAGCCTAGGGTGCCCCCTTCGCCCTTCACGCTGAGTGACAGATGCAGCTGACCTTCCTGACCCCGTGAGCATTATCAAAGGTCCCTGCTCGGAGCTTGTGAAGTCCCCCTGCCAGGGTCTGGAGAGAACCCAGCTCTCAAAAGCCACTTTGATGAAAGCTACATTTTTGAGTTTTCATCTGAGAAAGCAGACATCTGGGTTGACTGGAAAGTTGGCCGCTGCCCCATCTGGCTTGGCACTGGCTGTGTCAACCCCAAGGCCCCTTTGCTGGGGCAGGCAGGGCTGGCACACAGCTCAAGGCCCGCAGTGGTGGGCTCCAGCTGTTTGCCCGAGATCATCTTTCCATCTGCCTGGCACAGGAGGCGTTCACCTCAGAACCCAGGCCCCTCCCAGTATCTCCAGGGAGAGATAACTCTTGCTCTGCCCCTTCAAAGAATTCTGCAGCTTTCTCCCTTAAAGACAATAATAGCCGCCAGTTACTGAACTTCTACACTATGCTAGTCTCGCCACTCATCGTTTAATTGTTATAACAACCTGCAAAGTAAGACTTTTTATCCCCATTTGACAGATGAGGAAAATGAAGTTCAGAGAAAGCTGAGGAACTTGTCCAAGGCCACACGGTTAGGACAAGTGCAGCTGGGGTTCAAACACCCCAGTGTGTCTGATTCTCAGCTGACCAGGGTCTCCCTAATTATTCTGGGGAGGCCTGGGCCTGCCTAAAGACAATAAAAACCAGGACCTCAGACCAGAATTGCACGGAATTTCATATGCCAACCCTGTCTCTAGGAGGATTATTTCACGAGCTACGGGTGCGTGAAGGACAACAGCCCCTCAAGAAAATTGGGGTTGAATATATAGGCAGGACAGCCACCTGCAGCCCAGGCCTAAGTGTTAACAGAGATGTGTTAAAAGAATTGTCCCAGAGAGAAGTGGGTCGGCCTGTGCCATGCAGTTCAGGAGGGCAAAAGCCGATGTGTAGGTGTTTCTGTAAGCAGAGCTCAACTCGAAACTGAGCGCCAGGAACAGCTTATTAAAAACTGCAACTGTCCAGGAAGACAGTGGCGTGTTCCCAGTAGTACTGAGCTCCCACTATGAGGAGTTTGCCTACTAAGAACAGGTACGTAGAAGGATTTGGGGAAGGAAACTGATTGGAGGCGGGGGGGTGCAAATAGAGGTTTATATGTACATCTGAAATTTTATTTGGAATGCTCAATAGAAAGAAAGCTTGAGTTTGTCTTGGTTTTGTCACGGCCCTTGCCCACGAGGAGTGTGACAGGCACAGGTCTGTGAGGCCAGCTCCTGGGGAGGGTCGGCATGTGAGGGTGATTTGGGCATGCGGCCAGGTTGGAGCAGAGAGATGTGAGGTAGGTTGCAGCAGCAACGCCATCATCGTCACTGTTGTTGTGATTCAGAGCACTTCATATGTGCCGGGCCAAGCGCTTTCTCGTCTCGGTGTATGCTAACAATGTCTCCAGGAGGTGGATATTACTACCTTCATTTTCTAGATGAGGAAGTTGGGTCTGAGCCCCCAAGTCTACACAACCCCAAGCACCTGTCTTTAACCGCTCTCTATTTTGCTTCCTTTGCCGCTTCTCGTGCACTTGGCATTCGCTGGACTGGAGGACCTGGACTTGGGAAACAGCTGTGCTGGGTGGGGCTCCTCTTCTCTGGGACTCTGGGTGAGATGCTCAGTCTCCTACAATAAAGAAATGGAGCTTTCAGAATTCCAGCTGTTGGACTGAAAAAAGCAGTGTCTCTTTGACTTGATGTCCTGAGAGCTTCTTGCAAGGCACTTGAAGCCCCTTGGGAATTGTGCCCGGACTCAAGTTAGTGCCTTCCCCACCCAAGCGGGGGTGTCGCTGACATGTGGCATCTCTGGCCTGGAGAGCTCCAAGGAGGGGTGGGGGTGGGGTGGCTGGAATGGCACCTGTCTGAGCCAGGGGTCTGACCGGACCACTCTCCACCTCATCTTGGTCTGTCAGTGACCAAGATGCCCACTTTGGCTCTAGTGCCACCCTGAGGAAGCAGTCAGAGCTCATCTTTGGGTGGAATTTCTGCAATTATTGGGGGGATCCATTAGGACTTCACCAAGGAGGAAAATGTGGACTGATGGACATTATGATCATTGCCAACATGTGACAAGCATTGTGCTCAGAGTTTTACATCCTTGTTCAGTGTTCACAACAACCCCTCCAGGAAGGAATTGTCATCCCCGTTTTACCGATAAGAAAACCGAGGTGCAGAGAGGTTGGGTAACTTGCCCAAGTCTCTCCAGCCAGTGAGGGGCAGTAGTCCAGCTTGCTACTGAGACTGACGAAAGGAAGGAAGGACAGGAGGAAGGAAGGAAGGAAGGAAGGAAGGAAGGAAGGAAGGAAGGAAGGAAGGAAGGAAGGAAGGAAAGAATGGGAGGGAGGGAGTCTTGGGGAGCATCTATGGGACTGTGGCAGGCATTGTGTTAGCTTCAGTCTGCCACTGATCGTTTCAGTAAAGTTATTCCTCACAACAACCCACGAACTGAGTTTCTGTCCCCACTTCTACAGATGAAACAATTAAGACTGAAAGAGGTTAAGAAATGTGGTCCAGGTCACACAGCTCTTCAGACTGGAGCCAGGAACTGGATGTGGGTCTGGCTGCCCCAACAGCCATACTCTTTCCCCTGCTCTAGGGAGTAGAAGTTTTTCTCAGCATACCTCAAGTTTTGCTAATTGGGGGTTCAGCTCCAGCCGGCTCACATATCCCTGTACATGGAGCTCACCCTCATCCAGCGTGTGTGTGAGTGTTTTCTCTGGGCAGAAGGCTAGGTGGCAGGGGACCCTCCACACCTCTCTACTGCAGCCATCTGTCTCTCAGGTTGGAACTGGCATGGCTAACCATCAGCCCTCTGGCCAGACACGTTTCTCCCCCTCCGCCCCCCCTCCCTGAGCTCTGTCGTGCAGTCGGGGCCAAAACTGTCTCCAGCAATTAGTTTGCCCTCATTGAGGCCTCCCTGAGAGTCCCAGCAGCCAAGGGAGAGAATTTGCAGGCAGGGGCAGGCTGCAGCCAGGGGCCTTCCGCTTCCTTCCTGGTGTGTGTCCCGGTTGAGATGCAGCAGTGAATGGACAGGGCCCCGGTCAGGGACAGAAGACCTGAGTTCCCAGCTCACGTGGCCCAGGTTTCCTTACCAGGAAAGTTACCCATCTCTGCCCAACATGATTCACAGGCGTTTTGTGGCGTTCACACTCCTTGGTGTTCAGGTTGATTCCAGAAGACCCCTTTGCAGCTGCTTCGGATTCCTTGGGTCTAAGAGTCACAATTGCAAAGTTGCTGGCAGCTCCTAAGTGTCTCCTCGAAGCACCTGTGGGAATCACGGCTTAGTCACTCTCTCTCTCCAGATCTCACAAATCCTCCTGTTTTTACTTTCCGACCTGTTATTTTATCCTTGATCTGGCTGAGGGGCCATGAGGGGTAGTATAGGTTTTTCACCATTTCCTTTATTCTGCATGGCACTTTGGTTATATACATTGTGCTTATATACATTTACCCAGCATCTGATTAGTTCTTATGGCCTCCTCCTGGGTATCCTTGTCTTTTTTTTTTCTTTCTCATTCACTGTCCTAATCCCTAATTAAAAAGGGGGTGGGGTGAGGGGAGGGTTCCCAGGAAGGGTGATACACTTCCTGCTGGGCAGATGTCTCCCTGGGGCCTCCAGACCCTAGGATTCTCAGCCTAGACAACTCCTAAGACATTTATAAATTCGATCACTTATTTATTTGGAAGCAGGAGAGAGTAATGGTTCAGAATTTACCCTCTGGGAGCAGATGCCTGGGATCATAATCCCAGCTCCATCCACCTGCTGGGTGACCTTGGGCGTGTGTCTTAACCCCTCTGTGCCTCAGTTTGCTCACCTGTAAAATGGAGATAATATTAGTAAGTACCTCCAAGAGCTCTTATAAGAATTAAATAAGTTAATACATGTAAAGCCTCTTTAGTAGGGCCTGGCCCATAGTGAATGCCTTTTTAGTATTTGATATTATTATTCATTCCATTTTGACTGAGTGCCTATACTGATTCATGTGCTGTGCCTGGCTCTAGAGACACAGCAGTGACAAAGAAGACAAGGACCCTGTTCTCACAGAGATTATGCTGTATTGGGGGAGATGGGCAAGCCAACAGGCTGTCACAGAGCAGCATATTAAGCACTATGACAAGGGAAAGCCTGCATGTGTTGGGAGCACTTGAGAGGCGTGTGTTGTGTGGGTGGCAGGGGCAGTGAAACCTGTCCTCGCCCCTCACTGTGAATCGTAGAGCTCAAAAGCTGGGAGTGGGGCTGCTCACACTTCCCAGCATCTCTCCCATCCTTCCGTCTCAACGCCAGCATTTTCAGAATCCATATTTCTATCCACACAGCGACCTTTTAGGCTGGAGACTAGTTCCTACGGTCGAGCAACATGCAAACCCCTAGCAAGATCATTCATGGCAGGAACAAACATTACAACTTACATTTACATCTTTTTAATCTTAAAACAAATTAAGCTTTAATTTTTAAAAAATAAGACTAATTTATATCTTCACTTATTTCATTCTGTATGTCATACTGTCACCTGTCCTGTTTGGCAATTGAAACCTTACCCAAAGATAGCAGCTAATGACAGCTCTCAGGGAAAACTGGGGTTCCAAGAAAAGGTGGTGCCTCTTATGTATGTCTGGCATCTCACAACACCCAACATACTACAATGCTTGGTTTATGGGATTTTTCAATTATATTGTCTAGTTTAAACAAAAGCAACCTTCACCACGTGGAGAAGTGACTCTAAAAAAATCCCTGCAAAGAAACAGAATTCAAAATAATGCTAATAACATAATCACAAGTAATCATTAAAAAATGCAAAGCTGACACTTCTCCTCTAACCTGTAATCATCCATATGTCAAGGTAAAAATAATGACTCAAAATGGATATGACTCAAAATGGAGCCCAGGATCCAAAGACCAAGAAGACTATATGAAATATAGTTTTATCTGCTGTCATTACTAACAAACCTTGCCCAAAGATAGCAGCTCATGACAGTCAAAGCTGTACTGATTAGAAAAACATGCAAAAACACTGAGACACTCAAACTTGGCTGTACGATTCAATGAACGTATAGCTATGTCTAACATGTCTCTTGGTATTTGCAAGAATCTATTTCAACAATAAAATATAGGAAGAACTATTTTTTTGTCAGCCACTAAAGAAAGGATGAGCCAGAGGACATATATTCTCAACTGTAAATGACTTCTTGAATAAAAATAAGCTTTAACAAACAGCTCTGGAAGTGTAGCTGCTGGCGCTATGACATCAAGTAAAGTAATGGCGATGCAGAGAGCTGGATGTAGAATTCCCTCACCGCAGCCTTTATAGGCAAGTTATTGCCACAAAGCAGTCCCAGCCAGAAGAAGGCATGTTGCTACAGGAAGTCATGCAGTTAACTTTATAAGAAAAGACCTTTAAAAGTATAATAGTTACTTTATAGAAATTTGTGTTGGAATAAAGTCTGTGAAAATCCCTTATACCACTTGAGAATTGCTGGCTATGCCTTGGCAAAGGAATCGTCAAACTTAAAGATGAGTTCATCTTTTACTTTTTAAACAAAAAGATGGGTTTTCTACATTTGCCACCTTTTTCTGTGATGACAGATGGCTGTCAGTACTATGCTACCTGCTAGAGCTTTACAAGAAGGCTGACGTACTACTCTGTCCCATCAAAATAAATGGAGAGTTTTTCCCCTGTTTTATTTAACATACATACTTTTTCCCTGTAAAGTAAAAGAGGATGTTGTGAAATCAAGGCGGGAAGTGTAGCAGCACCAAAATACTGAAAAATATTTCCTCATTATGGGATGGATGCTGTAAACCATCTCCATCTGCACTCTTGAAAAACTTGAAAGCTGGAATTTTATAACTTAATTAGAATTTGTAAGAACAGCTAAGCGACCTCCAGGAAGATGGAAATTTACTAGCCAGATTTCAACAACAGCATCACATGATTGGTGAATGTGAGTGAAAAATGAATGTCATGGTTGTGTAAGAGTGTTCCACTCGTGAGCGTCTTCCCTCTTGAGCTCGGATACTTTGTCAGGTACTGCAGCATTAAAACCAAGTATCAAAATTAACATAGCCAGGGTGTGAACTGTATCCAGATGTTTAAAAACTAATAAAACAACTGCAGTTACATAAGATATAACCATTAGGAGAAACTGGGTGATGGACACTCAGGGCCTCTCTGTACTATTTTTTGCAACTTCCTACAAATCTATAATCATTTCAAAAGAAAAAGTTAAAAAAGTAATAACAAAACATGTTCAACCGTATGTTGTATTGTATTATATTGATATAGTATAATATAAAGTGTCTATAATATAACTGTCTATAAGATATATAGTTAGTTATATTGTTTTTAAGAGCAAGGTGAGATGAGAGTAACCTGGTGGGAACCAGGGAAGGGATTTCAGCCAAGGAGGCACAGCTGCCCAGGGTGATGGCTTGGAGAGACGGGGCTTCACAGCTGCAGGCTGGGCGAGAGATCCAGACTGCACCCCAGTTCCCAGCATGGGTGACAGAGGCGCCCAAGAGCCCTCATTGAGACCTGCCTGTGTCTTCACTCCTCAGCCTCCCCAGTGATTGAAAATGGTCATCTGGAGTGTCCCCAGGGCTACAAGAGACTAAACATCACTCATTGTCAAGGTAAGGATGACGAGGGCCAAGGTTGGGCTTGGGAAAGGGAAATGGCAGAGGCCTGATGATGTAGAGACACCCCCACCCACCCCCAGACAGGAGAAGCAGTTGACACTGCCTGAGTGGTCTCCACTAGGCACCTCTAAGCCCCAGTTTAGGGGAGCTGTGGAGGCTGCTGGTTCCAAGGGCCTAAGGAAGTCAGGGGATAGAGATAGACTGAGCAGAGAAAGACCTGGGAGCTGAGCCCACCCCCTCCTCCCCATCTCCACCCATCTGCTCCCAGACTTGGGCCAGGTACCTTTCTAGGGCTGTGTAGCTCTGTGTCTGAGGATGCCACCCCAATCTCCACACATCCAGAGCTACTCTCCCTGGAATGGGAGGACGTTTGACTCCAGGATGGGAAATCAAGTCAGCCTGAGTTAGTGGGGACCTCTGTGGACTTTCCTCAGCAAAACACCTTCAGCTGCTCAGGCCTCCCCCGCCTCAACCCACAGCCAGGATGGGGAAGGGGCAGGCACAGTTGGAGGAGCGAAGGACTATACAGCACAGACTCTGGCCTTGCTGGCTTGGCTGGCAGCTCTGTAAGGCCAGCTGTGGCCCAGGGTGCTCTGCATTAGAGAGCCCCTAGAGGGGCAAGGCCCAGGGGCACCTTGAGACAGAGGGGTGGGAAGTAGGGCTCAGCTATAGCTTTGTCACTACAGAGAATTCTAGAGGGGGTGGGGAGGACCAGAATGACTGAGGAGCCCAGAAGCCTTCACTGACAGGACAGCTGCTGCCACTGAGCAGCTCAGGCTTTGAATGGAGAGCCCCTGTTGGCTGCGGGCCTGGCAATAGGTATGATCTGAGCAGGGCCTTCCAGCCTGTGGGCTCTGTATGGCTTGCTTTGGGTGAAGTTGGGTTAGAGACAAGGGATTGGCCCAGATGACCTCCTAGGTATCTTCCCTCTGGAGGCTTTTTCAGGAGAGATATTTCTGAGAAGCCTTGGGGTGACTGTGGGGTGCCAGGCCCTAGCGGGGATTTCTGGCCCATGGATAAAAAAAGGTGGGCCAGGAAAAAGGGTGGGCCTCTGACCCAGTCCAGCCTGGGGCAGCCTCCCTGAGTGACAGTGGGCTGAGGGCCTAGTGGACAGTGGATATGGAGAGACGTCTGTAGTTTTGCCCTTGGAGGGAGGCAGTAAGGCCATTCATACAAAAACTGTCTCCAGTGGCCTCTCCTCTTGGCAGGTTTCCCAGCCTGGAAGGTTAAACTTAGTCCCAGAATCTCAAATGAACTCTTTGCTCTCCCTTCACTGGGCCTCCGGGATACATGATGCCAAGGGGACCTCCCCAGGAGGCCGTGCCCCTGAAACCTCTCCCTTCCCATGTCTGTGGCCATGGTCTCCCTGTCTGTGAAGGGACCCACTCAACGCTGTACCCACAAGCACCATCCCTCCTGTCTCTCCATTGTTCTTTCTTCCACAGGGTAATTTTGGGGTATTGCTATGAGCTGCGTGCATTGTGCTAGGTTCTACTACACAGGGATGGCTAATATGCAGCTGCTGTCCCAGGTGAAGACAGGCAACTTAAAAATTACACACAGTGAGAAAGGTGCTCTCGATGGAGAGAAACACTGGGTGCTATGGGATCTTATGGTACGGGCCCTTCCCAGACTGGTGGATCAATCAGGGAAGGCTTCAGGTGACGCCTGACCTAGACTTACAGAATGTGTAGAGTTGGCCAGCTGAAGGGGTGATATGGGCATCCCAGACACAGGGAACAGCGTAAGCAAAAGAGTAGTTTGGGCTGGCTAGAGCACAGCCTGTGTACACACAGGAGACAACACAGGCATCCCAGGGTCTCAGCAGAGCCACCACTTACCACAGGCTTTGGAGAAATGTGGTGAAGGGCCTTGGATACCATGTAAGGATGTAGGGGCTCCCTCTGGGAGGCGATAGGGAGCCCAGAGACTTCTCAAGCAAAGGGGAGGCAAGTCAGATTTGTGTTTAGACACATCATTCTGGCCACAGTCTGGAAGCAAATGGATTAGGTTCCCTTCCTCGTTCTCCCTCCAGCAGGGCGTCCTGCCAAGGTGTAGTTGGGTCATCTTTCAGCCCCTTCATTCCTGTGCTCAGTGCCAATCTCCCCAAAGCCTGGGAGTGAGCAGATGGCGCTGCTGATGCTGGGCTGCCGTGCGTTATCTCCTGACCCTGGAGGTGGGCACCCTTCACAAAACTTTCATGCTCCCCATCATTGCTGCTACCGCAAAGGTGCCATCCACAAAGGTGCCATCCGCAAAGGTGCCATCACCAAGATTGGCCCTGACATCTTGGAGCTTCAAGTGTGAGAGTTGGGGTCTCCTCTTGGCAGGAAGAAGTTTGGGGCATGAAACACTTTTGAGCATCCACTGGTCTTGGGGGATGTGTGTGGCCTCCCTGAGGCAGGAGTATTTGAAGGACCTGGAGACATGCCCTCCCAACCCTCTGCCCTCAAGCACCTGCCTCCTCTTTCTTATTGGGGTCCCTCCATCCTGCCACTCACTGCAGACATGTTCCCCAGGCTGAGTCCTGCAGAGAAGCTTCGAGGTCTCTCAAAGAAAGCTGAATAAGAGGGTCTGGACAACCCTTTCTCCATCCTCCAACCCCAAATGTCCCCTTCTCTGCTTCCTCTGTTTGCATCTCAGCATGTCACTTACTAGCTGAGTGACTTGGGGCGAGTTACTCCTGGAGCCTCAGTTTCCTCACCTATAAAATGAGGGCATGTGGACTTACTTGAAAAAATTGTTTGTGAGCATTAAATGAGATGTTATATGTAAAGCACCTGGCACGGGACCTGACATGGTACCTGACACGTAATAGGAACTCAGTAAACATTAGCTGTTCATATTATGATCATTATTACCAGTTACAGGACCAAGTGATTTGAAATTTTTATCTCGTTTTATCCTCCTAGCCATGATTATCTGGTAGTTACTGTTATTATCCCCATTTTACAGACCAGGAAACTGAGGCACAGAGAGAGGGATCACGCATAATAAACGGCAGCTCTCTCATTGTTGTCCTTTTATTTGGAGAAAGCATTTGAAGATCTCTGCCCCGGCTCTTCCCCTCCATCAGGCCTTGGAGGGGCGGGCACGTGATCATCTACTCCAACCCTACAGATATCAACGAGTGCTTGACCCTGGGCCTGTGTAAGGACTCCGAGTGCGTGAACACCAGAGGCAGCTACCGGTGTACCTGCAGGCCTGGCCTCATGCTGGATCCGTCGAGGAGCCGCTGTGTGTGTGAGTGCTGGTGGGGACCAGGGCAGGGGGACCCTGGGAGGCAAACTGGGACCCTCAGCGTCCACAGGCCAGGCCCAGAGCAGAAATTTCCAGCAGGCCCCATCCCAGGGCCCAGTGTCAAAAACTCAACCTGGAACTGGGCCCAATGTACAAAAATGGATCTGTTTCCTACGGCTGGAACAGAGACAGTTACTACTTCACTTTTGGCTTGAGGCATTTCTTTGGGGACTTTGCAGTTTGAGGTTTTCTACTTTCTCTAATCATTTCTGTCATACCTGTTGCCTCATTTACTTGGGGGGTATGCATGTTGCCTCTGCTTTAATATCTGGCTGAGCGGTGGCTGCCTCTTCTAGAGCCTGAGCTTAGCAGCCTGGTCACTTAGCTGCAGACCTTTCTGAGGGGGCCTGTCTCCGGCATGAATGGCACTGCTGTCCCAGCTCCGGGGCCTTTCCATAATTTTGTGGTCCCTTGTGGTTCTGAATGTGTCTCTGCATCCATAAATACATACGTGTCACAAGTAGGATTAGCATCATGTCTGTGTGTGCATGCGTGTACACATCCAGGCGGCTGTTTCCAGTGACCTCTGTGGTTTCCAGCTGGGAGAGGCCCAGTCTGACAGCCCCAACCCCCCCATGTCAGAGCTGACGCCAACGGCCCAGACAGGCCTTTCCTGGGGCAGAGAGACCCGACCAGAGCTGAATAAAACCAGTCCCTGCTGGCCTCTGCAAAGTGATAGCCCAGGTCAGGTCAGCCACCCCTGCTCAGCAAAGCTCCCTATAGCTATCTGAGCCCTCAGTCTGCAAACCGCCAGGTACCGGGTCTGAGGAGACCACAGGATGAACACGACTCCAGCGCCACCCAGAGGAAGGATCCCATTGGATGCTTCCAGTGTGTGTCTCCAAGGAGAGGAGTGGAGACCCAGACAGTGAGGGGGCCCAGAGTGGGGAGAATATGTCAGGCTACTCTAGGGAAGACCTCCTGGTGACAGAGTCATGTAATCAAGTCCTTGCAGAGCATACAGCCCTTCCTTCTCCCCATCCCCCCCCCACATACACACACTTAAGATTCCTTTATCAAACAGGTGTGTTTAATATCTGAGGTGACGTATTTATTAGTGCCAAAAAGAGACCCTTAGTACAGGAAAGCAGAAATGGCCCTTGGGTGTTCTCTCTTTTTTCTCCCCCCCTAATGTTATCTCCTCAAAGGACAGAGCTTTTACATACAGTATCCCAAGGGAAGTGGCTGCTGGAGGCAGAGGTTGCCCCTGGAGACCCAGGCTCATGGACTGACTGCTAGCTGACCCGTGTATAGCATATGACCTTTGACAAGGGGCTTTCCCATGTATCACTCACTGTAAAGAAGGCTTATTAGTCAGGAGTCTTTGGGTTGCCAGTGACAGAACCCCAACTCAAACCACCATAAACAAATATAATGAATTGGCCTCCACAACTAGAAAGGCCGGGGCTAGGTGTGCCTCAGGCTTGACTAGATCCAGGCACCCACGGTGTCGTTAGGATGTCTCTTGCTCTATTTCCTCTGTGTCGATTTCATAGTTCTTTGAAAGGTGGCCACCAGATACTCTAGCCCTACATCTCCCAGCCTTGCAAACTCAATTTTAAAAAAAAAAGAAAGAAAATTAAAATTAAAAGCACCTTTTCCCCAGTAACCCAGGAAAAGTCCCAAAGCTGATTATTATCGTTGGGCCTAATTGTCAAGTGCTCATCCCTGACCCGAGCACTGTGACCAGGGAAAAGAGTGTACTCTTTCAGCCAGAAAATGGGGTCAGCCTCCACTCCAATCACATGGACCAAAACTGGGGGACAGGGTAGATCCCATAGAAAAATGAGGGTGCTGCTATCAGAATATGGAGGCATAGATGCCAGACAGGCAGAAGTATAGGCAGAAGTACAGAATCCATACAGAAGAACAGAATCATCACCCTATTTCACACATGAAGCAGTAAAGCCCAGGGAGGCCACGGTCATGGTGGAGCAGGGATTTGAACTTGGGCTGCTAAGTCCAGACCAGGACTCCCCAGAGTCATCAATTCCTCAGCTGTAAGGGTTGCCCTCTTCATCCCACCCCTCGTCCCCTTGTCCAGCCTTCTTAGGATTTCTGTCTCTTCCACCAAGGCATAGCCTCCTCATCTTCTGTTGAGATAATTTACGAGAGAATAGTCTGTAATATTTACAAGTAAGGGGACAATGGTGGTGGCATTGTTACTATAGAAACCCAGCCTAGCTCGCACCCACTGTGGTCCACCAGAGTTTGATTAGTACATAGATCTAGCCATCTATCCATCAATCCAACCAGCATTTACTGAATATCTGCCTGCTCCGGATGCTGTGTAGGGAGCCTTGGTTACAAAGATGACCAAGATAGGGTCCCTGTCCTCAAAGCTGCCCACCAGGCCTTTGGTTCTCACCTCGTCTCATCTCCCCAAGAAGACTACGGCCCCCAGAGCACACTGCTGCCCACTCACCCCCATGTTGGGCTTTGGTAAACACTTGTAAACTCAGCACCTGGAGACAAGCAGGTACATCTCTATTTCCTGCTCTCAGGTTCTCCACATGGGTGGGCGTCCAGGGTCCCCTCAAACAGGTAGGATGAGGAGGTGCTGAAGTGTTCCACTGCAGCTATTCCTCCTAACATTCGTGTGAGCATTTTCAGGGCCCCAAACTCCCAGATTGAAAGATGGGCCAGGCTAGTCCCTGTGCCTGCAGCCAGCCGCTCCTCCATCTTTGGCTCTCCTGCTTATGCTCTCCTCTCCTGCTGGCTACCTGCCATCCCCACCTGCTGTGTCTGTTGCAGCGGACAAGGCCGTTTCCATGCAGCAGGGACTGTGCTACAGGTCGCTGGGGCCCGGCACCTGTGCCCTGCCTTTGGCCCAGAGGATCACCAAGCAGATATGCTGCTGCAGCCGAGTGGGCAAAGCATGGGGCAGCAAGTGTGAGACATGCCCCCTGCCTGGCACAGGTAACCCTCTGTCTCCCTCTCAGCTCTGGCTATCAAGGGGCTTCCTTCAAGCCAGGAGCCATTTCTCCCCCACCTGCATCTAATCTTAAGCCAGAAGACCCTAGTCTTTCTCCCTGCTCAATTCCTTAACCCAACCCGGGATCCCTCCCTCCTCGCTGCCACAGTAGCCTTGTCCTCCAAAGGGAGGGAAGGGAGGATGCTGTGCTCCTACAGGAACAGCATCTCTCAGCATGTCCTCTGACTGTTGACCTTGCAGAGGCCTTCAGGGAGATCTGTCCTGCCGGCCATGGCTACACCTACTCGAGCTCAGACATCCGCCTGACCATGAGGAAAGCCGAGGAGGAGGAACTGGCCAGGCCCTTGTGGGAGCAAGGACAGAAGAGCAATGGGACCCTGACCAGGACAGCAGAGAGGCAGCCACTCCGGGCAGCCACTGGCACTTGGCTGGAGGCCGGAACCGTCCCTGACAAGGGTATTTGGTCTGGGGGAGATGCCTGAGGGATTACCCTCCCCCTTGGGTTACAGCACCTCAAAGAACCACGGGGTGCTTATCCTGGATGCGTGGTATCTCATCTCCAAAGGAAGTTTGGAGCAGCAGCACCCAGCCCTGGGAACCTGCTCTCCTGGCCTGGCATGACGGGAAGGCCTCACCCCCTTCCTCGCTCATATGGGGTTAGGAGGTGCCCACATCCCAGGAAGTTGCTGGTGGAGATGGGAGAGGTCAGCAGCAGTCCCCACCCCAGCTGATCAGGCCTTTCCATCCCCTGCCCCTGGCCTGGCAGCTTCGGAAGCTGATGCATGCAGAAGGGCCTGAAGGGCTGGCGAGTGGACATGGGGGTCTGAGTGCTTTAGATCCCCTCCCCTGGCCTCAGAGTCAAAACACGAACTCCAGCTCAGCTGCCTTAGGCCCAGGAGGCCTGGGGCTTGGAATAGACTGGGCTTGAGACAACCCGAGCAGGTGCCCTGAGGAATCACGCAGAAAGCACGCCCAAGTTACTGGTAGCACAGAGAGCAGGAGGCCAAGGATATATTAGGACCAGGAGAACTAAGTGATGGCCAAAATTGCTCCAGGAATCTGGAACAGACAGATGGGACTGTCAGGACAGAGCCCGACTCATCATGGAAACTGGACATTGGGCAAGCAGGGAGCACATCCTCTCCTTCCTAGAACTATTCCCCTGGCCTGTAACCCAGAGTGAAAGGTGGGGTGACCTGGTGTGCTGGGAGGCTTGGGCGGGAGGAGGTGGCAGTGAAGGAGGAGGGTTACAGCTAGAATTGATGGAGACTGGCCTGGGAGGGTGGGACTCTTGTCACTGGAGGCCTTAAATGAAAGCAGGAGGTTTCCTCTTACCAAGTGCGTCACCTCGAAGGCCCTCCAGACGTGGGATTCTGGAATCTCTGGTGGCCAGTCCCAGCCAGGCTGGAGGGGCAGAGGCAGGCAAGAAGAACCCCAGCTTTCTCCACTGCTGACCTGCTAAGGACAAGGTCAAGAGGTCATGATTGAACCAGCCCTAGCAGTGGGTGGAGGCGAGAAGGCAGCCGGGCTGTTCTTCCTGCGCTCACCTCTCACCTTTCCTTCCAGGTGACTCTCAGGCTGGCCAGGTAAGTGAGTCCTCCCACCAGGGAGTGGGACAAGCATGGCAGAGAGTGGGACCTGGTAGCCCCTGAGGCCACAAGGCTGTCCCATGAGGGAGGAAAGGGAGAAGGACGGAGTACATATAGGATTTTACTTGAAGAAACGCTGAAGTGGAAGGGTTAATCCAAACACCTAGTTTTACCCTAAAGGAAGTTATAACAGCTCCTGTTTATCAAGTAGCTTCTACGCTCTCTGTGAGATGGCCCAGGGCCCCCTTCAGAAGGGAAGTAGGAATGTGCCCTGTTAGTCCTGTCTGTCATCCAAGCACTGTGGCTGAGGTCTAGAACTGGTTCTGGATTAATTTCAGACTTGGCACTTTCTGAGCCTGATTTGCTTAAATCTCAAGGTCTCCTCTGAGAGTGGCTCATGGGGAAGTAGAGGCCTAGCTGTGTATAGCCTGAAACCACTTCACTGAGAAAGGGGGCTCCCAACCCCTTCCCTGTACCCAGGAGGCCCCTGTAGAATACTGAGTGACCTCCTAAAAAAAATTCCAGAAAAGTGAACCTGCTTCTTCCTTCTCCAGTCTCCCAATCCCTTCCCCATCCGCTGTCCCTCCAACCTACATACCTGACTGTCCCCAAACACTATTTCTCCAGTGAAGTTCTCTCCCTGGAGAACCACAGACCAAAGTTGTGGTTGTCCTACCAGACCAAAGTTCCACTTCTGTGTCCTCACAGCCCCAAGTCCCTGTTCCTCTGTCATCCTCTGCCCATCCTTTTCCTCCAGGCTCCCCACGGTTTATCTACCTCTGTCCGTGGGCTGTGCTGAGGGATACCGGGTGTGGCCTGGGGTCCTGGCTTCACCACACTGGCCCCGTGACCCTAGGTAGACTAGTTAACTTCTGGACCTTCTGTTGCTGTGTCTGATAGCACAGCATTGATATGATACTTGCTGATATGACACTGAGCTGGCACATTACATACATCGGCGCATTTAATCATTACAACCTACTATCATAGGGTAGTTGAGAAGATTAAGACAGTGAACATAAAGTGCCTAGCAAAATGCCCAGCATCTAGTAAAAACTCTTCAATGCCAGGAATGAATGAAAAAGTGAGTGAGTCAGTTGGCTAGGAAACCTGGAGGCAGGAGTGAGTGTGGCAGAAGGAAGAGTGTCATGGGGGTGACAGACGAGCCAAGAGTGACATTCTCCTGTTTCTGTACAGGTTGCAACCAGTGTTACCCAAGTACCTGCCTGGGTCCCAGGTGAGTTCCTCCTCCTAGCAGCTCCCAGGAAACAGAAAAGGGAGGGAAGGAGAGACCTCCATCTAGTAGTGGAGTTAGTGCACCTGAGCTGATACACGGGGCTCAGATCAGATAAGGTCGTGGATGACAACATCACACGTGAATGCTTTTCCAGGAGCCCAATATACCTAAGGAGGTCAGCGAAAACCACGGTGATGCTATGCAAATATTTCCCTACCACAGCACTCTGTCTGCATCTCATAGTGCCGTTCAGCATATAAAGGAGACCAAGGAGGGAGCACTGGCTAAAGTGGGGGCTGGATGATCACATTCCCAGAGCCCTCTACCAGTGGCCTATCTTCCCTCGGGAACAGTCAGGACTCTGCAAAGCCCAGCTTGCCTGTCACTGGTGTTGGGGACAGGGTGCTGTTCCAAAGTCAGAAAGCTGAACTTGCACTCCCTCTACTACCAAATGCACACTAACTCCTGCCCTGCTGCCTCCTGAGGCAGATGAGACCGTCACGTTAACGACAGATCTCTGTAAACTATAAAGCAATTTGCAAACAGAAGGAGAAAAATGCTGAACCGGGAGACCTGGCTTTGGCTCTGTGTCCAGCAAGCCAGGTGGCCTTGGACAAGTGGCCATTTCTGCGAGTGTCAATCTCGCTGGCTGTGAAATGGAGCCAGACTGTAGAGGATCTCTGACACTCTTTAGAGCGCACGTTTTCTAACACTCTTTGGGGCCCATGAAGAGTTTCGGGAGGCGGGATAGTCACAGAAGGTGCTAGGCTCTACCCCTATGCCCCACAGGGGGAGCGGATCCCTAAGGCCAGGAAGAGGGGAAGGGCCCCTGCAAGCATCCCGGGGGGAAAAATTTCTTGGGGCCCGGAGGCCGGGAGGGAAGGGGCCACGGCACACCTGCCTCCTCTCCCCTCTGCCCTCTGCAGGAGATGCCACAGGACGACTAACACCTCCACCACCTGGACAGGGGATTCCAGAGACCCAGCAAAAAGAGCAAGTGACCACCCCCACTGATGTGCTGGTGACCCTGGGCCCCCCAGGTACCTACAGCCAGCCCCGTGAGGTGTGACTGCCCAGAGCCAACTCCATGGCCTCTCAACCAGATGAGCAGTCTCCTGTGAACTCCTGCCCAGGCTCAGCACCCCTGGCCTCACCTCAGAGAACACAGGGTGCCCTAGTGAATA